TGATCCTTACAAAAATCCGCCTCCTGCAACTATCGTTCGCCAGCCAATAGCTAGAGTCCCCCCTTGCATCGATCACGTGCTTATCATAAGAATATTTTGTTTACCTCTAACTGACTCGACTCGTTGGATGGACTATAGTAAACTCGTCACAGTAAAGCTACTTAGGAGACCCGTACCTTAGACGCGAGGAACTGTTAGACACAGTTCGGAAGTTGTATATATACAAACGGGAGCCTTTAGCGAGTACTAGTGAGAATTGGTCGTTGGTCCGTCCCTCTGGTGGTCAAACCTACGAAGTACCACCACAGTATTAATTGTGCGGGAGGTGAGTTTTGAGTTTACACAACAGACCTGTGTGTCACACACGATCGAAAGCTTGACTGACGTCGATAAAAACTGCAGAACAGGTTTTGTATTCTTCAATAATACTCTCTATAGCGTCAGCTACTCTATGTATCTGTTCTTGCGTAGAGTGTTGCTTCCTGAACCTAAGTAAATGCATACGTACGATGTTGTGCACACACGTAGTCGAAGTGTTGTTGCTTTTCCTACATTCACGCGATGGATAGTTTTCTGGACATTTAACGTAGAAATATGCTTTGATGCAATAGGTTTTTCTGTGTCCATAATCTTGACAACGAAAACACCGTAGGATTCATTTTTTTCTTTCGCGGAGGTTCTTCTATTATTTTAGTTCCCCGAAGATGGGAGAGTTCTCTTTGTTCTTCCAACTTCGTATATTATTCATATTCCTGATTTAAAATCCTTTGCTGTGCGAGAGGATCGTTTAATGTGTAATGCATGTGTGATTTGCGACGATTAAATCAGTATCGTGGTTGGAAAAAACCAGGTTGCTGAGATTCGTTCGATTTAATTGCGATTACATTGTAGAAGATGAATCTGGCGATTCGTTTTGTTCTTTTTTTCTCTCTTTATACTAAATGACGTGCAACGAATATGCATCGAAGTTGTATGACGTAATCTGATAAAACAGTGCTGCGATGCGTGTTGTTTCGACGATGGATTATTCAATTTGCTTTAATACAAAATCAAACAATATGGCACGTGCGGTGTGTCGAAGGTTGCGCCTATCTTTTTCCACGGGATTTTCTCCCTTTATCTTTTTTTTATTCCATTCAACGAAGCCAGCTGTTTATAAATACGCCAGAGGGATGTGCAAAGTATCATACGTGAATTATATCTTGGATTATTTTACGACTTCGTAAAAAAGGCAATAAAATAGGAAAAAACTTGTCGTTTCACTTCCAATAAACTTGCTAAAAAGATTGACGTAGTAAATTCTGCTTCACCGAATACCAATGCACAGGGTGAACCATTCGAATGGGAACACTCACTGTTGATATTAGGAGTAGAAATTAATTCGGTGCCTTTTTGCACAAACTTCAACGTTCATTTATAAAAAATCGAACACAGTTTTAATATTCAAAAGAATGGAGTTTAAATAAACGTTGAAGTTTGCGAAAAAAGCACCAAATTAATTTGTACACCTAACATGAACAATGGAAATGTTCATAATCTCCATTATTTTAAATAACGCTTTTCCATTTATCGAATAACTGATAAATTCCCTCTCTGAAATAATATGGCGATTTCGAGTCGACGAAGTCGTGAAGATTTTTAGAAAAAGGCACCGAATTAATTTGCCCACCCAATAGACACATTAGAGCATCATATTTGTACTATTCTCATCGATCAATATCTACTATTTTGTTTACCCCTTTAGACACAATGTTCTCGAATATTTATGAAAGGAGAAGGCACTTATCTCTTTCCGTTTAAATAGTTCACCCTGTATATTACAAATATTTACAAAGTTTTTTCAAATAAAATCGAACCCTTTCTACCTATCGATATCCCCAGTATCATATTTTAGTGTCCGTATCGGACTGGATATATAGAATGAATTATAAAAAGAATGCTGGGTACATACACCTTATCTGTTTTTGTTCCATCGACTTTATCGGGACGGCTGAGGTAGATACCGTAGGGATGAAAGCAATTACCTTTCATACCACAGAATCTCGAAAGGGTATAACAATATATAAACTCTTGGTATTGCTATCAAAATAAATTGATCGTGCCTCCACATCGCTAATTTCAAGAACAGCAAAATATGAATCGTACAAGAGTGTCCAGAACTTAATAAGTCATCGTCACTAATTGGAAAATATAAAACAAATATGCAGAACTACATAAAACTGTAACGATTTCTTCGCACAAATCTACGCTAGTCTGTTAATGAACTTCTTCTATCATGTTCGTTCGTCCATAAATAAGAAAAGCAGTAATTGGTGCTGTACTAGTACCGTGTGCACCCGAGAAGTATAGTCGGTGGAAGAAATATAGCGAACTCGTAAAATTAGCATAACGGTAACTAAAATACCGTCAGTTGTCGGTTGTCGTCCCTTTATTATACAAACCCTAAAACAGAATGACGTATATGGTCCTGGCTGCGGCTAGATCAAGCTGTGCCGCCACTTCATGCTTTAATTTACGATCTCGCTGTATTTGTTCCATCAACTTTACTCCAACTTTTTAACTTACGCCGGAGCCGTTCAGCGGGCATTTGAGCGGGCAAGGGCGCCCGCGGATGCCCGCGGGCAGAGCTGAGGGCAAAGTCGCGGGCTAGTGATATCGCATACATTAAAGCGGAGTGGGGAAAAGACGCTTGTGTCCTTCTTAAGTCGAGCGATGATTACCACATACATACACACATGCACGCACCGTTGCCCGAGAGGCGTGGCTTGCTGCTCGCCAATTTGTTTATGCCCGCGGAAGCCTGGCAATAACTGAACGGCACTGCCTCGCTCCTTAAAAAAAAAAGTCTACCCCCAGTTCACCTATTGACACGTTGACAGCCACACAAGATTTACATGTTACTCACAGGAGGCCACAAGAAAATTTTCATTATTCCATGCATAATATTATATTATGCTTCGTTATTTTTTTTTTTTTATTCAAAATAATGTCTAGTTAACTATGACGTTCAAAATTTTTAGTTAACGATATTCATTTTATTTTGATTATTCTAAACATTGTTGAAACAATCTCCGGTCACAGGTGACCAACGTAGCAGTGAACGTGTTAACAGGGAGTGACTGTACAAGACAAATAGTGCCTTCACCTTCCACGAATCATTAGGTGAGGATACGGAAGACCTTCCTCATTTCAACTAGCTGTAAGGAGATTTACTTTTCGGCCTATTTCTTTCCATTTTATTTCACCTACCACGCGAGACGGAGCCATAAGGAAACCAGCAGAAAAATCAAACTTCCCTCTTGTCTGCGTACTTGATGCAAGCGATACAGTGAGGTCGTAAATTAAAGCATTACGCGGCGACACCGATTGATGTAGCCGCACCCAGGGCCGTTTATCATTTGTGAATTGATACCTAAAATTTCTGCTTACAATCTTTCATTTAAAGCTCACTCGTAATTCTCGTGTTGGTAAAAATGGACCTGCACCTGTCAACGATTAAGGTGCAGATAATTTCTTTTAAATATACAGCAATGGAGGAACCAATTTGAAGCTGACATCGAACGGCCCTGAGCGATGCTCGATCTTCTTATCTCTCTCCATCTGCTGCTTTCGGGCTGAGATTACGTCTATTTCGATGTCTGACAGATTTTACATCACTACATCGCTTCCACCGACTGTACAAAGAGCTTGAAACACGCTTAATCGTGTTCACTACGTGCTTCCCTTTCTATTTATTATCGCTACAATATTCTCTAATTACAGGGTTATATTTGCTCAAGTAATTGATCGATAAAAGACATTTGAAATGTGTTTATCGCCGCACCGTAGCTTTTATCGTCATTCCTCGGCGTTGAAATAAATATATCATAGACACGATGCAAACGTTCCACCAGACTGTGGAAATGTTCCTCGCGGCTCCCGATAGCTAAATCAAAAATCGAGCGCGCTCGATAAGAGCGCTCTACCGCAAACAAAGAAACAGCCGGCAAGTTCGAACGAACAGCGTTATACAATAAAAAGAGACAACAGCGTTGAACATTCGCTGTAAGTTGTACAAATTTTTGTCGTTTCAATACACTGGTGCCGTGGGTCGCGGAATTAGCTACAGGCATTTTTCGGGTGGGATTAATATTCATAGCTGTTCGCGAGAATTGAATAATGGCTGGGTGCGTGGAAAATTTAAAAAATTCACGAATAAAATGATTTTTTTTTTTTTTTTGTAAAGTTTGTTATAATTGTTTACGGTTGGACAAATATTCGTTTCCATATTGTTCGTACCCAAGGGAAGATTTTGGATAGCTGGTCCGGAAAATAATATTCGTTGGTGAACTCTATTCTTGGAGAATGAAATTTTATCAAATTCGATTAATTTTGAATCTATTTCGACAAAAATCGAAGGTACGAATATATTTGCTTGATTGCTCGAGAATCACTTGAAACCACTTTGAGAAATATAACTTTAAGAAAATTAATGTTCAAACTTACAAATGACAATCTTTCATTCCGCATACTATTCTTTTCAAAAGCTCGTAAAAGATGTAAATAATGTAAAATAATAATTTTTTCCCCCTCTAAATCAGAATTTATCAACACCTTGCGTAGGTCACCGAATTCTTCGCATTTCTGGCATAACTTATAAAAACTTTATCGAACTGTTAAATCTGATCCGCTCTTTTAGTCACAAAAAAAAAAAAAGAATTCCCTAGAAATATCGAATTTTCAACCCCCTAAAACAAACATTCCACTGTACATTACACATACTGCTAGAAAAATGTATTCTTACAGCACAATCATGACTTACAAAAATACAAGCGACCTTTCAAATGTTATCCACTATTTTCCTTAAAAAAAAAAAAAAATACAGAATTCCCTAGAAATGTGGAATTTTCAACCCCCCTTAAAACAAACTTTTTCCACTATCCACGATTCCCGTAGTAACGTGTAGTACAAGACGTTCGCGTTAAAGAAATCGCGTCTGAGGAGGGAAAAGCTTAGCTCACCGAGCAGATAATGTCGTATCCATTTTTTCTTTGGCGGGGGCGGCATCCAGCTGCGCACCGGCTCGTCGTTGACGACCACGTCGATTATACCGACGACCTGCGTCGGCATCAGGCTATTCGCGTCCCTGAGCCCGTCTACATTGTTGTTCGTCTCGTTACCGACGTCGATCGCGCGCTCCGCTCCCGCACCTTTGACCACGTTCAAATTCATACGAGGTTGAACCGCCGCTGTGCCATCCGGGACCAACAGAACTCCCATGTTCCCTGTCACAATCTCCCGATACGCACGCTGCTGCTCTCCACGGTACAACACACGCACTTCTCACCCGTTCCGAATCCACATATACGTACTCTTACACGTCCTCTCGACACGTCCACCAAACGGTTTTTATATCCATTTGCTATTCTCTCTCCGGCGATTCTCTACTCTGTAATTCCAGAGATCTTTGGTCTCGATGTGCTCGTCAGAACAGTGAATTTCCGATCGAGACAATAGGCGAGAGATGGTGTTGTTTCTCCTTTGAGGTTCAGCGTGGCAAAAACAAAGGCGAAACGAAGAAGAAAATATAAAGAAGTAGAAGGGAAGAAGTATGCACTGCGTAATTGCGACGATAACTTGACGATACGCGAGCGTAACTTTCTTCAACAGGAACTTCTTCGATCGGTATGCACACTCTGTTACACGAAGCTTCCCCTTAATGATGGCTACACGGTTTTTGCCAGAGAGGAAGAGAGAGAGAGAGAGAGAGAGAGAGGAGGGGAGAGAGAGAGAGAGGTACGTCAGAGAGGTGTCCAAGAGGTAGATAGACACGTTCGTCGAACGTTGGTGCACTTCTTTGCACGCATAGCCTCGATCGACGACGACCGATAAAACTGTCGTGTCCAGGAGACGCGTCGTCGAACGAACGGCCGCCGGTCGAAAAGAAGTGGAAACGACTGGGAATGCGAAGCGCGTGGAAAAGAGAGAGGAGGGCTGCGTCACAGTTTCACACGGGGAGGGGAGGAGGCGGTTACGACGAGTGAATACGACGAGGTCGACGTTTGTGCCGGAAAAAATCGGAACTTTCGAAACACTCTGACGAATCACCCTATGTATCTTGGAGCTGGACGGTTCTTATACACCTTCGACATCGATAAATCCTTAATTGGTCATCGAGAATTTCGAAACTCGTCGATCGGACATCTTTTGATCTTCACAACAACACTGTTACTCGACGATACCTCGAGAGCAACGAAACGGTCTATTTCTCACTGAACGTCGACTTTATCTTCCCGAATGGTCGTTATTCCTCGTGACAGCGTGCAAAACAGTCCCAGAATTGTCGAACATGCGTGGAGAAACGGCGAGACACTATCCTAGATCGTGACGAGGCTACGTTTCTTTTCATTCCACGGATCCCACTTGTGTAATCACGAGTGATAAAGCAGCGTCTTGGATATCGGCGTGCCTGCAGCGACGTGCAGCCTCAACCAGCGACCTTTTACGCGTATATCTAACCAGCCAATCCTTCTTTCTCGTACGATACAACTGTACAAGAGTGAATTCTCCGCAAGAATCCAAATGGTATACGGATACGATTCGCGTCAATGTTCAAAGTGAGAGAAAAAGGAACTAGAGAATTTATGAAAATCGATCCTCGATCGATAAATCAGATGTGCGTCGCGCGGTGTATCGACCGACCGAAAAATACGGATGACCGATCACTGAGATACCGATCGTCCGACGCGGACAATTCGCTAAAGAAGGAAACTCGTAACCGCGTGAGTCGCGGGTGCCGACTGAAGTCTAAACGTAAGTGCCACCGCCTCCAACCTGAGGATGACGATCCCCTGCTCCCTTACCCCACCTCTGCAGCCCGTGCACGCCGCCAGTGGCGACGGCGGCAGCGACGCCGACCAATCTCCTCTCGACCCTCCGCCCGCCGCTTTCCGTGACATCTCCGTTCGCGCGAGAGCTGCCTCCAGTCACCCGCGACACTCTATCCTTGTCGCCCGAGGCTACGCTGTCTATCTCGCTATCTCCCTCGCCGTTCTTCCGTTCGTTCCTTCTTTCGTACGTACGTACGTACGTAAGTACACGTTCGACGCGTTGAAACACGAAACTCTCCTCGGTGCCGCGAAATCGCGTGTGCCTTTCGAAACGTAATCGGAGTAAATGAGAATCGTTTTTCGCGTATAACATACACGTTCGAGGCGATAAAAAAAAGAGGTTAGGTTCTGTGTCGTGATGGAAAGGATAGAGCGTAGAAAGGGAGAAAGAAAGAGCGAAGGAGGTTTCGATTGAGTCGTTCGACGTCAGACTCCTTTATCTCCGCTCAGTAACTGTTACCCGCTTTTTCCGTGTTCGTTGGCACCGCGGCACACAGAGTCGGTTTAAAGAACGAGGCGCGCGCGATGCCTTGTCACGTAGAGAAACTGGATCCCCGTCGATCGACGACGACAAGTTAGGAATTGAAGGCGGATTGCTCGGACTCGGTGAATTATGCATGATCGCCGTAATAGGGAGAACGATCGATTGGTCTGTTTAAACGGTGTACGCGTGTTGTTCGTGCATCGTGTGTACGCGCGTATCGATTTGGAGTTGCGAAAAAAAGGAAAAATCGGTTTTATTGTACGTTCTGAATTTGTTAGTTGAAAATATACGAGAGCCCTCTGGAGTGTGAATACACTCGTTCGTATTTTGTGCGTACGAGTTCGATCGCGTGTCACAAGTGTCGTTTTATGTTACCCTATTTGGAACGAAATAATGTTGCTTTTTTCTTTTATGTTTTAGCTTTTTGCTGTACGAGGCACACAACGTCTGTAGTGTTATAGAATTTCTGCAAGTTGATATTTATTGTTGTGGTTAAAATAGTACGGAATTTTATTATTATTATTATTATTGTTTTAACCATGTCAAATTTTACAGCTACTAGTAGCTGTAGCAATTTTTACTATTACCAGTTACGCATTATTTTAGTTACTCTTAGTAGAAAAAGAGGTAAAAATTCATTTTATACACTTACCATCGATGATGAGCATTTTCTCTTCGCAGAATAAGTCATCTTGCTCTGTACGTTCCCTCTTTAATTTGGCACCTGTAAAATACGACAGAAATAATTAGACCTAACGGAATTGCACGATCAAATTTCACATAAAATATTTGTATTGAGAAAGTTATTAGCAATAATGACGATTTCTTAAAAAACGAAAAAAAAAAAGACTGTTCCTCTATAAACGAAAAAGATACGAAACGAGCTGTCAATGACAGATTCTACAAATCAACCATTTGAATATTTTTCCGACTCTTATTATTATTCTTCGAAAAATACTGTTCGATTTATACGATGCCTAATAGGATCGTGTAAATTAAGGCTTGAATGTATATTTCAGGAAAAAAGGCGAACTTTAAGAATTATTCCTGAAGTACGATCCAGCCATGTGACAGAAAAACATTTAGTCAACGTTAAAGCTAATTTTCAAAACGTATTCACACGTGCGACATTCTCCAGAAATTGAAACGCACACGTTATCCTAGAAGAGCATTCTCCCTCCGGCAGCCCCTTTCCCCGCGCGCAATGTCATCGATAAACGCGACAGCGTGTGCGGCGAGAAGGAAAGCGGTGACTAGCGCGTCGGGGGCAGCGAAGCGCAACATGTCACCGTTCCGTTGCTCCTCGATCGTGTATCCCTACTCTTAATCCTTCTTGGGATTTTCTTCGCGGTGCATCTCTCTCTCGCCGCTCACGGTATACAGACGGGTTGAATCTACAGGTCGATAAGGTATGAAAAATTGAAAGAGGCGCGTCTCCACGTACTATCGACGGTGGGGATAGGGGCAAACATATTCCCCTAGGTCGGCAGAGTGAGCGGTGTGTAATGATAGGTGAACGTTTTTGGTGGGGAGAAACGAAAACGCCGGGGAGCACGGTCTTATGCTTCATCTCTCTCGCTCCCTCCTTCTCCGGGTCAGCGGAGGACGCGGCAACGTCGCAATTGATCAGGACGCCACGCGGCCGGACACGCGTGGTGGGGGTTTGCCAGGGACAGGGCGCATGCGCACTCAGACGACTCATTTGCCCGCGTGCTCGTCCGCCACTATAGTGCACCGTTGCGCGTTCTGCTCCGTTTTACTTTGCTCTTATTTACCCCGTTTCTCTAGTCTAACCCACTTCGTTTTCGTCCCAATCCATTCGATCCGCGATCGAATCGCCTCTACTCTATCCCGTTCTCGTGTTGTTCGTTCCGGTGGTGAGTACGTATACGTGACTCTGTATACAATGCCCCTTCTAGAAAATTACTCTCGGTAATTCTTCGCCTACTTTTCTGCCACGCGATCGTCCATCCTTTCGTACTTTCGTCCTCTACTTCGCCCCCTTCTCCGCGTTCCGGCCTCCTATACCGGGAGACAGGCTAATCTGCACGTATCTCTGCTGGCCAGTGTGACGAATGTCTCCGACAGTAACGACGAACGGGTTACGAGAGCCCCTGCGACAAGCTTACGGATCGGCACACGGCGAACCGACTGATGCTGTGCGGTAGGAGTGGTTTGCAATGGTAAGCGGTCGATCGCACACCTACAGTTCTAGAGCGGTGCGACACCGATCGACAATTCAGAAGTACTGTAACTTTAATGCACTATACAAAGCTTGGTGAAAGTACCGTGTTCGATAGAGAAACATTAGCAACACCTGACAAATTTGAAAAACTTTGGGAAACTTTTTTGTCAATTTTGGTGAATGAAGAAGCTTACTTCGAACGGAAGAACCGTAGGATGTTTCGTCCAGCTTCGAATCAATTACGCGTAAACCTAGGAGGAAAATTAATTCGCCGGAACACATACAGACACTCTGTACAGAATTTACGGTTCGCACGCCCATCATGCTGAACACACGTACGCTACGCGTGTTATAAAGTTGTAAAGTTGAATTGTAAAACATCATTTAAGTACACGATAGACAGTCTTAAATTATCGTTTAACGCGTATTGCCTGTTATATCACGCACCATCGTGCCAGTGAGCACGCGCAACGCGGCAACCGACCGGATGCGCGGAGATAGGGAGCGAATTACAACGTTTAAATCATCCGTATTACGATCGAGTTCGTGCGCGAGACCGTCACTCGATTTTCCACTTCATAAGTTACCGCTGACCCACCGAGCTTTCCAGCTTGTCTTTTACAAATTTTACACACTTCTACACTTTTACACAAATAAAATTAATCGTTTGTAAAACCAATTTCGCTTGTTTAATAAAAACAAAATGAAACAAGGAACGATATTATTATTCTCTTGATAAATTACGAAAAAAAGAACAACCAAGGTTTTATTACGGCTTTGTAAAAATAATTCAGTGTATTTTTACTAAAAATTTCATTTCACTCTGGTGTCGGTACATTTATCATCGGAGTAATCCGATAACGAAAGTTTCATCGGTAATGTTTGCCAGCTGAAAAACCATCCAGTAAAGTGTACAGTATCGTCGAACGCACATTTTCCCGTCTCCTGTCGCATTTGAACGGTGCGCACAGAGGCGTGACCGTGAAAACGAGAGATCGATCTCCCGATACGTGTGTATATTCACCTTCCTTTAAGGTTTCATCACGACCCACGGGGAAAATAGTTCGACGCAAGAACGCGTCGCTATTGCACCGAGTGTCTCACTCTCGCCGTTCTCTAATAACGGCGCGAAAACGTGAGCGTAT